CACACACACACACACACACACACACACCTGCTTTCTCCCCCAACAGGAATGGGAGGTCACAGATGTACAGGAGACCCAGTGGACCCAAGAATAATTGTGATGCAACATTAAGAAACCAAGTCTCTACCTGTATACAACCCTCACACAATATAAAGGAACCTCAATATATTTATACTTGCCCATATAGTGAGGCAAGGGAATATGTACATTTGACTGAAATAGATTTGACCTTTTACCAAATCAAAGTGAGCATAAAACAGTTATACACAATAATACACTTTTAACTCAGGACTATACAGGCCCCCGCCCCCCCCCTTTACAGTGTGATTATAGACTGAATAAAGTCCTTCTTCTTCTATGGTATGTGCTCCCTGGAACACAGGCACACATGGAGTGCATAACTAAATATCAAAAATACAGGATGTATTATTTTAAACGTTTTTAATACAGGTATATTCTGCAGAGGGCGGACAAACCCTGACGTTTACAGCCCAGATACAAACAGTGCTGGGCAGGATAAAGCAATGATTCGGGATTAAAATGGGCACCAACATCAAGGTGTTTTTGTGTTAGTGATGCATTTTTTCCCCCTCAAGGCTGCAACACTTAGCTTGATGTCATGTGTTAGCTTATCGTGGCCATCAGATGCCACAAAGAGGGCTAGCGAGGCTATCTTGCTTCCCTAAGACAAAAGGGAAAGTAATGGCTTAGCTATTGTCAAAAGCACTTGGTGTGTGTGTGTGGAGAAGCTAGCTCACTGCTGGTCGACGCTGCTGTTTGTGTATCCCCGACATGGTTTGACAAACTTGCGATATCACTGCAACATTAGCTTAAATAAACGGAGGGGGGGATACCAGCAGGCATTGTGAGAAGGCAACGCTGGCGTTAGCAACCTAGCAACAACAGACACCTGCTCCAGCTGACCAGCTAGCATCAGCGGCTAGCCCAGACCTATGCTACCGCTCAGCAAGCATGGTAAGTTTAAACACACGAGTTACACCCAAAAACTATTAAATGCCGAGCCGACGACATGTGGGTGAAGTTGTAACAGCAGATAAACCACAGAGGGGGGACGTTTCTTGCTGCTGCTAGCGAGCCGGACAGCTCACATCTGTGGGGCTCTCAGAGGCAGAGCGTTAGCCGAGCATGCTAGCACGTTACAAAGAAACACCCTCGCTAGCAAAGTACCCCAAGCTATCCACCGAGAGGAAGCGCTCATTCATCGGCGGACAAAACACACACCGAAGCGTTGAATGTCTCCCCGCGAGCAGCGGCGCCTCGAAGTTGAATTTACAGGGTGAAGGTAGTAAAGGATTGATCCAAACCTGAGCCGTGGACTGGTGGATGAAGATGAGGATGGTGGAGGAGGTGGTAATGATGGAGCGAGAGGTTGTTGTTGGTGGGTTACAGTCGCCAGGACTACGGTGACTATGGCGCTGCTTCACCGGGCAACAGTTGCTATAAAACTCCCCGGGAGCGCGCATCCTTATCAGGCAGGTGGGAGGAGATTAAAGCGCAGTAAATAGAGTGGAATTAAAAATCACACCCATCAGATCCATTTAATAGGAGAGTGATTAACGCGTTAAAGATGTTTAATAGAAGTCCTGCTTCCTATAGGTAGCAAAGATAACACACATGTTATTGGATCAGTATAAATGAATGAGGAGTTCTAGATGCTGCAGGTTTTTCCATTTTCTCAAAGTTTTATCTTCACTTTATCACGATCCACAATACATTTTTAGCATCACTGCATTTTCACACTGTCATAATCATAATGATGCTTCATGATCAGGGCCCTGCACAGACTGCTTTTTTGGTGGGGTCAGCTGCTCAAGTGAAAAAGGAGGCACCCCTCTCATTGTGATTTATTGGAATAAAGACACGTACAGTTGTGCATTTTAATCACACATTTATTTCCTCAAAGGGGTAGTTCACCGATATGCTGATGGAGGGTTGGGTCAAGTGTTTGGGTCCACAGCGTTGCAGCCAAATCAAATGCAATTGAAGTAACTGGGGACCACTTCTTCAGATGTAACAGAAAAAAAACATGAAATGCCTCCATACTGCTCCTGTGGAGCACTTTGCTATCCAAGTGTCAGTAAGCCCCAACATTCGTATTTGGCTTTAAACGGAGTATTTTACACCATGTTTTTAGCCTAAATATCCTCTGTTATCCTCCTCTGGAGCTTTTATTTTTCAATAAACTATCGCTGTAAGTACTCATACATACATGAAGATGTTCAATAGTGCACACACAGTGACAAACAAATCTGGAGGCTCTCAAACATTATATTTACCTGGTGGACACCAGTAAGCTCTGCAGGGCGCTCGATTCAGGTGCATAAGATGTGGTGGCTATGATAAGAAAAGTCATAGTGGGGGGGCAGGGACTTCCATGTTTTTAATTGAGAGTTGATGCCAACATGGGCGTTGTGATTTTTTTTTATATGAAGTTAGAAATATAATTCTTTCTTGAGCACCAACATGAAAAACATTTTGTGCTGTTTAAGTTTGTTTATATCCTATTCACATCTTGACCAAAGAGACAGTGATTTAGATTTAGACATGGTTAATAAGTCTGTTATAGAGGTTACAGGTCTGCCATCAAGTCCTGCGATGAAGGACATATAGTCCCTAAAACAACTGTGTCTCAGCTTCAGCTACATCAGAGTCTCACCTTTTCATTCATGTTTCCCTTGACTGTAGCTTTTCTCTCAGGTTTACCATTGAACTACTTGTGCCCATCTCCAAACCACACATTTTTAATCTTTCTATTTCCACACAGTGTTAGCAGGGATAGAGTGAAGGTCGTGGAGGAGAAAACCACCATTACATTACTTAAAATAAGTGCAGAGACTTAACTTAATCTGATACAGATGTAGATGATCTGTAGATGGCTTGTTAGGACCAAGGTGAACCTCATTATTAGCTGTTCTCTGCTGTGTGTTTTTAGGCCATTATGTTATATTCGTCTTGCCATTAATCTCACTGTCTTTCTTAGTTTTAAAGTTAATGAAAGCACTTTTCTATCTGAAATATCAAATTTTAGCACATTTTAACATTAGGCCTCATTTTTGCACATTATGCAAAAGTGGTGGATATTATAAAAGTAGACTTGTATATCTATGAAACTTTAAATATAAATCAAGCTATGAATGTCCCACATGTTTAAGTATTTTGCCACACAGCATGAGCGGGGCTACACAGGATGCAGTGAGTAAAACAAAGCAGTTTTAAGAAGCTTCTTACTGGATACAAAGCTTAACCAACCACCTGTGTCCACTGCGCAGCACTTATTTTTTTCCCGTTAGCTGTATTAGACAGATGCTTTTTGGAAAAGCTGTTGTTGTTGCTAAGCAACTAGTGAAACCTCATCTGATGCATGACACTCTTTTGCTAAAGGAATTATTTTAAGTAAAACAGTTTGTCCTTTCAATTCAAAAAAAAGAAAGACAGACAAACACTGCTCTGAAGACTTGCACTAAACAGACACAGCGGTGGCTAATTCATTCTGTAATTTACGTGAACTTATTGCATTCAGAATTTCCTCTATTTGTATTGCTACCATAAAGTATTTCTCTGCTGTCACTTTAAACTTTGTCTCATTTGTTTAATAAAAACAGAGATGGAGATAATGACTCTGTAGAGAGATAGCAACTTGGAGAATGAAAATGAATTGTTTTTGCCTGTGCCATGTGGCATATTGTGTAGGAAGCAGAGGCTGACCGATAAAACGATATCACTAATTATCATGATATAATTTGTATCTGTAGCAGTGTCACTAAAGTCCCAAATATATTGATATATTTCTTAAACATTGTGTTAGCACAGTGAGGAGATATAAACTGATCTACCTCAGATTTGCAAATCAAATGTTTGTCATTCTCTGTTCATCAAGAAGAGTTTAAAACTACAACCCTCAGGAGCATAAACTCAGCCTTTAAACTTAATATAAAGAGTATTTCTCTATCTTAATAGTATCAATGTTAATTGATATACATGTTTTTGTCTTGATATAATTCTTATCTTAGATCACCCAGGTCTAATGAAAATTGCTGTGTCAAGATCAGTATCAGATAAAACAAACTAAAGCTTAATGTCTGTTACCTTCAATTTTTATTTTTCAGTGAAATCCTTTCCTGTGGAGTGTCACCGCTCTCTCAATATGTATAAGGTAAGTGTCTTCTTTATTCACTGCACAGTGCTTTGCAGTATTGAAAAAGACCTTGAAAGTTTTCTTTGTGGTAAAAAATTAATTGTACAAAAATGAGTTTGGTGTAACTTCATATTACTGAGAGAAACAAATGACAAAAAGGGAAAATGATTTACTTCCTTTTCCTGATCTATTACGAATATATACAAAAGTGAAGGCAAAACTGCGTTTTTGCATAATTTAGTCTGTTTACTATAAAACCTTTCCATCACATAGTATAAAACATGTATCTGTTGATCATTTTTCAAAGTATGCTACTGAGTTATGGGTGTTTTTATCAGAATGGTCATTTTACTATCATTAAAAAAATGCTTTTGCTTTTGTGTTCATGGTGAATGTTAAGTCCCCTCCAATGGAAAAAAAGGAGTTATAATTATTACAGTTTCCTGAAGTTTTGCATTCTCCATAAGTTCATTTACTTAACATAAATACAGTATAACATAAAAAGGGTCAGCTGTGAAAGGTAAGTACTGAAATGCGGCTCATGATGGAGGCACATGAGCCCTCATAGCTACTGCATATACAGGTTGTGTCTATGAACATTACAGTGAAATGGTAAGGCTGTCTTGTTACTATAGTTACAAAGCCGTGGTTCTAAGAAAAAAACTTGATAAATGATCCTTTTGCATACTTTGCTGTGATTGCAGTGTTGAATATTTAGCAAAATGTCAGCAGAAGCACTCACTGCATGCTACACACAAGCTGTACAAAAACCAAAAAAGTAAACATTAAATTCTGGTTGGCTCAGTCGTTCGTATACATCGATTATGGAGCCAGAGTGTTGAGTCAGATAGTACATTTACAGAGATTTAGACAAAGAGGGAGACACAAACTTATATTTAGAATGTGAGAGTCAATAACATCAGTGCAATATAACCCAGGGAGCAGCATCGTAGATTGTTATTTATCATCAAATTTGTATTTTATTTTCGCTGAATGAAGCTGCTGCCAGGTTGCAATGCAATCCAAACTGTTCTTCTAATATTGACCATTTGACATAAATGGAACAGGGACGAAAAATGGTGCAAAGGAGCAAATAAAAAAACCTCTCTATTGAGTAATATCATCCTTCTGTGTAGATGCAGGAGACCTGGCTTGTGAAGTGGTCAGCCACAGTGAAGAAATCTCCTCCATGTAATTCTTGATTAGGAGTCACATCGTGCACTTGGCTGTGGATATTAAACCCTGCACACGCGCACAGAAACACACACACACACACACACACACACACAAATTATGCATGCTGTTAAATCCAATGGCAATAAGGGGATATTTTGTTTAGATTGTATTTTCATTACCTGCAATGCAGGGAAGAGTCGTTTGTGTGGTTGCCCCCCCACTGGGATTATTGACTGCTGGAGCGAGGCTGTCACCAAAGGCATCAACTTGCATCAGCTGACTCGAAGTGGTCTCTGCTGTGATCCCACCATATTGTGGGGGAGAATAAAGCATCTTCATCTGCCCTGAGAGCTCTGCATGGTAAATGAGAAATCCTCACTCTTTTATTGTTCTACAGAGTAGTTCAATTAAAGGTCTATTGCTTCACTCCTTAAATTATACAATGCGTGGCATCGGACCTCATAAAAGAAACAAATTGTGCATTCCAGTCTTTTTAAACCCCGGTTTTATCTTGCAGTTAAAACTGAACCTTGTGTTTCTGAACACGTTGTCAACATCACTGTGGCTGTCAAGTCTTGGGGGAGGTGTAGAGGTGATGTCTATTTAAAGGTGCATAGAGTGGAGCTGCCTGATTCTGTCTAACTAGAAAATCACCAGCCACCTGCTTCACATCGTAAAGATATACTGGACAATTAATGTGCATGTGAGAAAATCTGTTCAAACAGATTGTCAAACCGCCCACACGTTTGCTAATAGGCTCAGATGTGAAACTTGCACTATAAACTACTTTCAGATTACCCCCTCCCCCCCCCTCCAGCACAACTGTATTTAAATCTTTGCAACGGGTGTTTTGACAAATCTGGGAATGCAAAGATAATCAACTCATCCGAGTACCCGGATTGTGATCTGCAAGATCAGGAGGCTGGCTCGGCTGCTTTAGATCCTGGCTGTTCTGCAGGGATGTCCCATTGGGAGGAAGCGGGAGGCAGGTGGAAGAGCAAGACCCATGCTGGTCCCCAGGGAAGAGCTGGTGAGGGGAAGGATCAACAAACCTGAAATATTTCAGACTGAATTAAAACTCAGCTCAACGTGTTAAGTAAAAGA